GGGTCCACTGGTGGAACCTCTTCTAACCGGTTCGGTAGATTTGACGAACCGGTTCTACCGAATAGGTGTGAACCTGTAGGAACCCACCTCTGCCTTGGTGGTTCCTTCATTAGGCTGTTGTTTAGTGTTTGATTGTTGGTCTGAATTGGTAGTTCCTTGATTGGATTATTGTTTAATGTTTGCTTGTTGATCTACTAGTAATCTCTGTGTTAATCTCTGTATATTTGGGTACTGATTGCTGCCCAAGAGGTGTTGTGCTCTTTTAGCTTTATCTTTGCCTCTTTTGAATGGTATGTTGCTGTGGTTTATCTCTATGTGTCTGTTGATGGCTGCTTTGTCAGAGCGCCAGGATTCCAGGAATTCTCTAGAGTTTTTGGATTTAACTAGATCTAGACACGAAGTCAACTACAGCTGGTTCCCATGATGGAATATTCCTTCTGCATTAAAAAAAAATAGTCCACAGAAAAGATTCCCAGCATATTTTCCACTTCTTCCGATGGGCTGATGGGAAGCTTCTACAAGACTCATGTCTGCCTCCAGTTTGAAGGACTTCAGCGCAAGCATCATTTTGCATCTTTAAGGCACTTCGGGCCTGTAAAACGTGCTTCTTTCATTTTATGGCAGCGGCAAAGCCTCCCACCAGTGACAACGCACAACATGATCGATGACTCCGGCGACCCCATCCTGAGCACCATCAGACGCATCGGTTTGTTCAATAACCGAACGGACCGAATTAAGGTATTAAGATGAGCTCCTTATCTCGCCTTGCTTCTTGGAGTAGGCATGATGCCACCTGAATCAGATTAAGACAAGGCCCAAAGGAGGACAGGATTCTCCTCCCAGAGATCAAACCGGCTTTATGGTGAAACTCAGGGTTATCTGTGCGAGCGGGGAATGGTAGAAATCAAGATGGCGGTGGCAAGCCCTTGTTAGAAGCCCCTCACCCTTTTTTTAAATGTGCAAGGCAACACGTATGAAAAGGGGATGGAGCTTCAGTCACTCACTATGGAGGCAAATTGGTCGAGTGGTTAAGGGACCAGGTTAGAAAGTGGTAAACTGTGAGTTCTAGTCCCACCTTATGCATGAAAGTTGACTGGGTGAGTTGAGCCAATCACCAGTAGACTGTGAGTTCTAGTTCTGCCTTAGGCATGAAAGCCAGTTGAGTGACTTTTGACCAATCACCAGGAGACTGTGAGTTCTAGTCCCGCCTTAGGCATAAAAGATAGCCGAGTGACTTTTGGCCAATCACCAGGAGACTGTGAGTTCTAGTTCCGCCTTAGGCATAAAAGATAGCCGAGTGACTTTTGGCCAATCACCAGGAGACTGTGAGTTGTAGTCCCGCCTTAGGCATAAAGATAGCTGAGCAACTCTTGGCCAATCACCAGGAGACTGTGAGTTCTAGTCCCGCCTTAGGCATAAAAGATAGCCGAGTGACTTTTGGCCAATCACCAGGAGACTGTGAGTTCTAGTTGCGCCTTAGGCTTAAAAGATAGCTGAGCAACTCTTGACCAATCACCAGGAGACTGTGAGTTCTAGTCCCGCCTTAGGCATAAAAGATAGCTGAGCAACTCTTGACCAATCACCAGGAGACTGTGAGTTCTAGTCCCGCCTTAGGCATAAAAGATAGCTGAGCAACTCTTGACCAATCACCAGGAGACTGTGAGTTCTAGTCCCGCCTTAGGCATAAAAGATAGCTGAGCAACTCTTGACCAATCACCAGGAGACTGTGAGTTCTAGTCCCGCCTTAGGCATAAAAGATAGCTGAGCAACTCTTGACCAATCACCAG